TGGTCCGTAATCTTATATATAAAGCTGAATGTCTGTCTGTATGTATGCATGTCTGCTGTTCAAAATGCGGAGTGATTTATCAGTTAGAGTGTAAGATATGCCATGCCATTTACATGGGCGAAATTGGTCGACCGCTTCATGTACGTGTCAGCGAACATCTGGCCAGTAAGAGAAGACAGAGTCTCGTAAGTCCTCTTGGAAAGCACAGAAAAGAGTACCATGGGGGAGATGATTTTGAAGTCCAGTGTTGCATTTTGGCCGTCAAAGAACGTATTGCTGCTCGAAAAGCGTTAGAGGCTTCATTCATACTTGCTCGTAATCCTAAAATGAACAGCAGGAACGAACATTTGTCTATCACTAGTGATCTGAAACCGTTTTTACCATTTTGCGAGCTGTGAGTAGCCTACACTATATAAGCGTGTCGTACTTTATCGGACCGCTCATTTTGTCATCATTTGCTGTGGGCGACCGTGAGAAAAAGCTGACATCCTTACGCAGTCACATCTCGTGGATCAGTTAAGGCGAGTTTATGTGTTTTTACGAGGCCATAAAAGACAGGACAAGCCGGATTTTCAATTTTAAGCCTACTAAGAAACTTTTCATCTAGTCCCGCTTGCTTCCGACCATCATCCAGATGTGGTTGAGTCGCTTGCTTTGAGAAAGGAATTCTTTTTCGGTCACGCGACGATAAACTGTAGCATCGGATAGATGAAGTTCGGTTATGTTGCGATCGAGCGTTTGCGTATAATAACAATTTGCCTCCTTTGTCACTAACAGTGAGACGAATATTGCCGTTGGAGGTCAATTCGCGCAGCCCTTTGAAACCCTGTCTTTGCGTATATGTTAAATTAGATTGTTTCATACCACGATGTTTGTTGAGAACATTCAAAATTCCTGCCGACAGTATGCAAAATTTAACATCCGCTTCATGACAAGAATCAGTCTCTTTGTAAAAGGATGATGGGAAAGGAATAGGAGGGAGTACCCTTCTACATAAGACAGAGGGCGGCTGTAAACTGTTATCATGCCTGATTTTTGCGCGCAACTGATCTCTAAAGCGCTGCAAGGATCCTAGAACTTTGCGGTATACCATTGAGTTGACCGTTTGTGTAGGCGCGAAGGATGGTCCTAAGCTGAGTAGGTCTAGTGCGTTGGCAGATACATGAACATTGCCTATGATAGTGACCCTGGCCGTTTCATTAGTCGTAAGTGGAGCTGAATGAGTAAAAGACCGTTGGTTCACTGGGCGGCGTTCGTTCGTTTTGCGAGCTGTGAGTAGCCTACACTATATAAGGTGTCGTACTTTATCGGACCGCTCATTTTGTCATCATTTGCTGTGGGCGACCGTGAGAGAGAGCTGACATCCTTACGCTCCTCACCAGGAACACTTGGTAAGCTGTTCAACTTGAGAACTTAACTGCGTCACAATGGATGAGTCAAGTATACGGTTTGGAGGAAGTGTCTGGTGGTCTAGATCGTTTGATTTATGAGTGATTGACTCGCTTTCAGACCCCTGAAGACGGCATTCAGCCGAAACGTCGGGCAGTAAATAAAGTGTTCCCTTAAAAACCTGTTACGGCTTAAAGAAAACTGAACAGTATCCAATCAATTGAGGCTTCCCTTTCCCATGCTTGCGGTGGGAGAGTGATTAGAGGGCATCTTCGCGAAAGAGGTGCAGAATCCATGCAAAGCGGCGAGCGGGAGCGGAGGTGCTGGTACCTCTGACACTGCAGTTGATAAGCCCTGTACGTGAAGCTGTTTCTTCGCGTTAAGCAGAGTATCCATCGTATCATTCGCGTCTCTGTCGCGCTCGAGATCTGCTCGTTTTTCGTAGTTGCTGGCCAAAGTTCTGCTCCCGGTATACTTTTAACTTAGTAATATCAAAATTCGGCGGTCGCAGAGTACTCCTGTAACTTGCCGCCAATTCAGCTACTCCGCTTTCGTCATAGCATGAGCATTAGTGATCGCTTTGCAATCCGACGTCACTCGGGAGCCTATGCATTTGAATGTGGAGACCTTTTCCAATGGCTGCCCATCGATACTGATTTTACCGTTGGTTGCCAAGGTTTGCCAAGGTTTCACAAAAAGGAGACATACAATCTGATTGGATACTATTATAGAGCGTGTTCGTGGAAGGGGCACAGAGTCCCACGCGGAGTGGAGTTGCTGATGCACCCGATACTGCAGCTGATAAGCCCTGTACACCGATGTGCACATTTGTGAGCACTTATCGCGGATAAGATGAGAGGTGCCAGATTACGATGGTCACGTTTTACGAAGTGAAGATGATACAGGAGCCAAAATAGCACTTCGTTTAGATTCGAAGGGATAAAGACCAAGTGACCGACCGAAGCAAGGCTGGATAGACACCATTCGGAGCGAACTGCAAATTGTAAAACTCACACTACGACAGGCAGCTGGTCGAGTCAAATAGAAACAGAAATGGCAACACCGCCGAACCTGCCGCGCGGGGCAATGGCGAAGATAAAAAAGAAAAAGATTTCGATTCGACAGCAAGATATGTTGCGAATAAGCTGCAAGAAAATGCTTTTACTTTCATTGTGCTTTTAATTGACTCGCAACCATTTCCTCCACGCTCAGGAATTCCAGCTCAGAATGATGAGGAGAACAGAACAATGCGGACATGTTGCTGGAAACAAAGCGACAAGAAAGGGATGATGAAGGACAAGATCAGGCTGGCTTCGATGTGCGATTTGCTTCAGTGGACCGTATTGATAAGGGTTGTTTCAGACTGCCGCACTGACTGCAGCAGACTGCAGCTGACTGCAGCAGACTGCAGCAGACTGCAGCTGACTGCACTGACTGCAGCAGACTGCAGCAGACTGCAGCAGACTGCAGCTGACTGCAGCTGACCGCACTGACCGCACCGGTCGCAGCCTCTTTTCTTAAAGGAAAACAACCGCGATTACCAAAACAGCGTGATTTAGGCATAAGAAGATCATAAATTCCGTCAGAATTCTTCTCAATCAAATTTTGGCGATAGTTTTCTTTGGTATGTTCGTATTCGTTTTGATTCCTCCTATCACTGCATATACCTGTTTTGTAACATTCTAAACCGTGTTGTCTTTTGCTTTTACGTATATATTGTTGTTGTTTGTTTAAACCACAACTATTTATCCTCTCCGCCTGCATGCTACAGCCGCTGCGGTCGTTGCGGTCAGTGCGGTCAGCTGCAGTCTGCTGCAGTCTGCTGCAGTCAGTGCCGTCAGCTGCAGTCAGCTGCAGTCTGCTGCGGTCAGTGCAGACTGCTGCAGTCAGTGCGGCAGTATGAAACAACCCTAAAGAGTTCCCATCCGTTGTTCCCTTTCTAACAATCGCTATACCGGGAATCGTGATTGGTTTGAAGGCAATTCCAAAAACTTTTTCGTCTATCCGAGTTGAGAACCGGTGCACAAGTTTTCGAACTTTATTGCAGTGTTCTCCTCTGGTTTCCTCCAATTTTGCTGCGCTTGCTATTTCACTTTACCTCTTTCTATATTTCTCTTCAAAAAACTTCACCTTTAAAGGCAGTGTCCGGGCAAAAACTCGATTTTGAGATTTTGTGCTTACTTGGGCCTATTCGCTACGCTGAATCCGAAAATGCACATTGTAGAGCGCGAAAAGGGCGAAAAACGGCTCTAGCGCAGGAGGGAAACAGCAGGTGGGCGGGGCCCTCCCCACTGCGGATTCACGTTCCCGGCTTCCGGAGCGACCTTCTCGCTTCCGGTTTCAAGTCAATCATTCGCACTTGACCGGTGGCGATGTTAGGACGGCTAGCGGAATCGAGAAAATCGCTCCGGGAGCCGGGAGCGTGAAATCGCACTGGGGAAAGCCCCGCCCACCTGCTGATTTCCCTCCTGTGTTAGGGCCCTTTTTCGCCGTTTTCGCGCTTTCCAATGTGGATTTTCGGATTCAGCGGGAAATCAGCAGGTGGGCGGGGCTTTCCCCAGTGCGGTTTTGTCGATTCCGCTAGCCGTCCTAACATCGCTATTGGCCAAGTGCGAATAATTGACTTGAAACCGGAAACGAGAAGGTCGCTCCGGAAGCCGGGAACGTGAATTCGCAGTGGGGAGGACCCCGCCCACCTGCTCATTTCCCTCCTGTGTTAAAGCCGTTTTTCGCCATTTTCGCGCTCTAAAATGTGCATTTTCGGATTCAGCGTAGCGAATGGGCCCAAGTAAGCAAAAAACCTCAAAATCGAGTTTTTGCCCGGACACTGCCTTTAACGGGCTAGGATAATGGCACGCATCTAGGGGGGTGTGTATCGATCGCCCGTCCGGGTAAGTTACCCGGGCAGGTAGTTTCCGCTTCACAGTTCGGTGCTGTGGGGATCTGTATTCTTCCTTGTTTGCTCATCTTTTGGAGGCTCTACTACTCTATTATTGTAGCACAATGAGTAGAGCATTTTGCTGAGATAATTCGTTATCCGTATGATCGCGAATCTCCCACTGGTCACGCTCATTTTCAAAGTTATTGATACCCACAAAAACTCAATGAAAACGTCACAGAGTTTTGCTGTCGATTTACTACGACAGTGCTGCGCATGTTTGTGAAAGAAATAAGTGAAAAATCAAGTCGACAAAATCTTCGATGAACTTGTGCCGCGAGTTGGGTTCTATCAAAAAGCTCAAAACTTGCACATTTCATCTGTGCTACTAAAAACATGCGTAGCACTGTTATGATAGACCGACAGCAAAAGTCTGTAACGTTCTCCTCGAGTTTTTGCAAATATGAATAACTTTGAAAATAAGCGTGATCAGTGGGAGATCCCGTTCGGGATCATACAAATAAAATTATCTTAGATTATACAGCAAAGTGCTGCTATACATTGTGCTACGATATTAGGGTAGTAGAGCCTCCAAAATATGAGCGACAAGCAAGGACAGAGATCGCCAGAGCACCGAGTTATGAAGCGGAAACTACCTGTCCGGGTAACTCACCCGGGCGGGCGATTGCATTGCCCCAGATCGCGCCCAACTGCCTAGTCAAATTAAATATACCTCCTCTATCCATATTATGCAATCTTAGATCCCCTTCAATCAAACCCATTAGCAAACTGAGATCCTTGTCAAAATTCGGCCTCCAGAAACCTTCCACACGCTCTCCTTTCTGGAATGAATTGTAAAAATCACAAACATCATAGTCAAGAACAACTTGAACATGCCTCGATTACTCTTTGTGTGATATAGCCTTTCGGAGCTGGTACATCAATAAATGCAGGTAATTCACCGCTGTAATGAGCACATTTGGTGAAATCATGCTTTCAAGTATACGAATACTTATTTGAACCTGAAAATGGTGTTGCCTGCCAGGCTGATCTTATTCTAAACATTGATCGAGTTTCAGCGAAGATTGCAGGTCGCTGACAAGGAGGGTGCTTTTAGTCGAAAAGTTTCCAAAAAACATATCATTTTGGAAAGCACTGAACGCTGATGTCTCGTTATCTGCCATGCGTCCCCTGGCGGAGTTATGTATGTGGAGCAAAGAGCGTAAAAAACAGCGATTGTCGCGGTCCCTTCAGGCTCCCGCCAGAGTGCTGAAGTTATGCCAGCGCTACGCCAGCATTTCGATCGATACACGTGTATTTCGTTGGGGACGTCAGCTAGCCCCGCCCCAACGAAATACACGCGTATCGATCGAAATGCTGGCGTAGCGCTGGCATAACTTCGGCACTCTGGCGGAGCCTCAGCGTTTAGATCCAGTGTACCAAGAGAATGTGCACAGTACTTGATTGAGAATCTCCTGCTTTGATGTAGTTTGTGAATCTCTGAGTATCGTCTAGTAAAGCTGCTGGCTTCAACTTATATTTACAGCATGGTGCAAATTAGATCATTCCTCATTATTCTCGGGCTATGTAGGAAATCGAAAGGATTGTCGCGTTTGAGCCTTTGAAGCTTACATTTGGCTCTAACAAGGGAACGATACTCATCCGTGGTCTCTTGAGACTAAAAGACTAAATGTACTTACACTCGTCTTCGAACGCTGATTCCTAATCTGGCTTCCAATTCTGCTAATCGTTTCTCTGAAAGACATTATGGAGGAATTTCGATATATAGTCATTTGAACGGCGTCTACCGCGGCCACTTTATGGCCTTGTGGTTAGTGCGATAGCCTCACATGTTGATGCAGGTATAGATTCAAATCGTTTTTCATATTATTCCCTGACTCGATTAAAGGCAGCGTCTAGGCAAATCTGGTATGGGGATCTCACTTGGAGGGTAATCTTGCAGCCCTAACTAAAACACTGCCCAAGCGACAGTTCAAATGGTGAGCTCACAGTTGAGATATTCGCCCCAAACTGGACCCCGGGATCGTATTCGCATGCATACATGGCGCGACACAGCAGCTTCAAGTGAGGACCCAGCGTGTCGCACCATGAATCCATGCGAATACATCTCGGGTCCAGTTTAGAGGCAAATATCTTAACTGTGAGTTTAACATTCGGGCTGCCGCTTGGGCAGTGCCTTAGTTAGGGCCCCAAATTTACTTTCCACATCAGAACCCCGTATGTCCAGGTTTGCCTGGACGCTGCCTTTAAGCTTGTTCAGGAAAATTTACTCGTACTACGATCATTGAATACATTTTTACATATAGCAATCATTATTTCGAAATTTCCACATTTTTTGCAGATTAAAGGCGTTCACTCTAGGATGCGAAAGAAGCTTGATTGAGGCAAGGAAAAACTGAAAACACAAAGAGATTCGATCATACACCTGCACCAACTCATGAGGCTATCGCCCAATCACTAGACCACACCGCACCGTTAGTGTTGGCGCTCCGACCGTATTTCGCTGGAAAGCCAAAATGCGCGCGATCCATCATAACATCTTTGAAGCGATTGGCAGGAGCGGAAGTCAGATTCGGAATCACCGTTCCAGTACGAGTGTAATGGTAGAATCTCATCTCAAAAGTCCACGGACATCGAGTATCGTCCCTTGTAAGAGAACCAAACAAGTTAACAATTCAAGTTAACCATATAAACTTGCACCATACCGTAGTGACTCCTTCATAAGTAAGGCCAGGTTTTTATTCAGTTTATTTGTCGTTACATAAGGTTTTATGCGCCATGATCAAATCAAACGTATGGCATCTATGGACCAATGTCGGAAGTTTGAGGTTCAAATTACTTGTATGTGAGAGCTTTAGATGATAGTAGCATTTTCAAGCACAGGCCTCATGAAGGCCTTATACGTCATCAAAAAACACCTCAACCTTGCTACAGGAGAGCCCCTAAACAAGTTGTATACAGCTCTCATACTTATCAGCAATAACCCTACAATGTCTAACGAATGTAAGGCCATTTCTGACTAGGAAACTGAAATCACGTATTGACTCACTTATTTCAAATTTCCCCCCCCCCCCCCCCCATGAGATAATGAAAATTTCCCTTATTTGGGCCTAAAGAAGCACCTTAGTTTCCTCTAAGGAGATGGGCAATTCCAATTTCAGCGACCATTTTTAAACACCTTTCAACGCATCCTGCAGCGGTCTATATCCACTTTCATCCATAACGACTCCGTAAAGTGTTAAAGTGCGGCAAAAGCAGTGCAAAACACCCCATGAGAAATTAGGATAAACGGAAGGTCATATGTATAAATGACAACCAAATAGGTGAGAGGACACCTCCTTGCGATACTCCACTCTTCATTTTTCTAGGTCTGGAAAATGAGTTGTTTGTCCACACTACAAAGGTTCTATTACCACTGAACGCTGAAAATCTTCGTTATCTGTCATGCGCCCTCGGTAGCTAAGTTATGTTTGTGGAGCAAAGAGCGTAAAACCCAGCGATTGTTGCGGTCCCAGATCCAGTATACCAAAAGAATGTGCACAACATTTGATTGTCAAAGAATCTCTTGCTTCGATGTCGTTCGTGCATCTCTGAATACCGTCCAGTAAAGCTGCTGGCTACAACTTATATTTACAGCATGGTGCAAATTGGATCACTCCTTATTCTCGGATTACGGTAGAAACTTTCAACAGGTTTTGAGACTTTAAGGCCCCGGACAGACTTCACGCGATTTGATCGTCGCAATCTTCGCCGAGATTTCCATTCATTCTCATTTCACATTCAAAAATTCCGGGCTGGAAAAGTACCACAACCGAAATGCAAGTTGATCGGCACGGAATGATGTTGTGACAGTTGCCTTGTCGCGATTCAGTCGCGACGATCAAATCGCATGAAGTCTGCCCGGGGCCTAAGGCTCACATTTGGCTCTAAGAAAACCAAACAAGCTAAAAACTCAGAAAACCAGAGTCGCTGTCACTTGGGCATAAACTTGCACTATATTGTAATGCCTCTAAAGTAATGCCAATACCGCGACAACTCGTTTTAATTTTCTCAAAAATGTGATTACACGATTGAATGAGCTTTGAAAAATCGTTAAAAAAAAAAGTTTCGTAGTGGACTTAATGCGTTGAAACTCTGCTACACAACTCTCCAGATTAGTTTCCACATATTTTTTCGAACGGCTTATTCCAAAGGGGCGCTGCTGCATTGCTGGAAGTCTTTATCGTAATCCTTCGGTAGCGAAGAGCGACAGATGATTCACGCAAAATTCGAACCGAAACCAGCGTAACTCAAAACGATGACTTTAGCAAAAGACATCGGAGCAAGAGAGATATGATAGACACACAGTGTCACTTCTATGGGACACCCTTTCTGTGGAGGCGTGCTGCATGTTAGTTGTAATCAGGGTTGAGCAAGAGGCCAAGCACAATTCCTTCAAAAACGACCTCCCCCCTCCCGCCCTGTGAGCCCCCAAACCACCCCGCTTCAACTCCAGAACCTCAGGGTGTGACATTTCAAGGAAGACCAGCCTTTATTGAAGGCTTGTTTTTTAGATCCGTAGACCCAACTTTCTGCACTTGCACGACCATGCGGCACACGCAACTTAACGGCAAATTTCAGGTCTGAATAGCCCTCTTTTCTGAGCTACACTTCCACAGGGATGGAGTGTTTGCCTCCAATTTTTCAGTATAGCAAGAAGAGGGTTTGGGCTCAATACTCATACTAAAAAAGGCGCGAGCTTCGAATACTGAAGGCAAGTTAAGGGGGTCAGGCGCAGCCTGAGTTTTTGAGAGGTTGCGCCTGACCCCATTAACTTTATTTCTGAAGAAGCTTTTCAACCCAAATTCTATGTGATTCACTAATACGAACCTCGAAGATTCTACAGTGAGTGTTTGAGCTTGCTTCAACCTTGGTAATCCGTGGAGTTGAAGCACTCAAGGTGAAAACATGCCGGTTGAATTTAGACTGGTAAAGAACATTACTTCGACGTGAGTCTAAAATAGCTGACTTCTTTCACGTTTGAAACTAAGTTAATCATGTTTGAAAATCACGTTTTTAAGACGTTGAGAAACATAAGAAAATGCAGTGGATGATAGTTTGTAGAGCTCATAGAAGTAATCTGACATGCTGACTACAAAAATGATACCCATTTTACACAGCAAGCTTGTCTAATGACCTTATGATATGTCAAGGTAAGAGATAAGATCTGAATTTTGGCTGAAACTTCGAATGCGGAATCAATCAGTGTGCTGTCACAGTCATCAATACTTCAATACTGGTGAGGTTGCGATATTCACCGGACTAGCGTTTTCCTTTACATCCTAGTCGTAATATCTCCTCAATTTTTTGAACAAATTCGAATAATTACCACCCCTCCCCCCTCTCAGTCTTACTCTAATACGCGGGCACGCTGACCCCACGCTCAACCCTGGATGTGATCAAGAGCGTCAAATGCCTAAATCGCCCTGACTTCCAGCATTAACTCATCTGAGCGATTCTGAATTATTTCGTTCCGATCACGCGTTCAAATTTTTGACCTGAAAAACGCTTGCAAACTGGCGTCCAAAGGTGCGTGGCAGATAGCAAGGACAGTTTTTGAAACATTATCTATTGCTTATTAAATAAGTAATCGAAAGAAAACATTTTGTGAGCCACAGAGCGCAAGCAGAAAGAGAAAGTCGAGCTATCATATGCGTGGACTCTGACGCTGCTTCCGCGATGGTCTTTTTTTAACGGAGGCGGGATGGAAGTTTGTAACTATTTTCTGTCATACCAAACTTGACACTCTTACGTCGACTAATGCCGAAAAAGTTGCATTCCCCCATTTTTTCCAGATTTTATTGCAAAAATGAGGTATTAATTCTGATAGCTCCGCGGATTGTGCTCTCTACTCACCGAAAAAGTTCCTTCTCGAGATCAGAAAGCTGAACAGCATTGTCTTCCGAATAGAATGTGGCTGAGAACTCCGCAACCACAAGCTTCTCCTACAAAAATAAAAAACCAAACAATACATTTGCTACAAATCTACAGACCTTAACGTCTTCGGGAATCTTTGAAAGAATTGTATGCACATCTAGACCAAAACCACGAGAGATGTCAACCATTTTATCTGCCTCATCGATTATCAATAACTTCAAATTTGAGAGATCTATCTGAAAAAAATTTGACTGACGAAGGAATGTCCAATGACACATCCTAACGACCATGTGCAAGTCGATTGCTCGAAGTACACCGCCACAAGTCGCAACAACTATTTCCTGCTCCAGTTTCGATTTTGCAAATTTCAATAATTTCAGAGCTGATCCTCCAGCATATAAGCCTGCTATGCGCACATTTGTCCGAGCAACTGCAAAGAAATGAATATCAATGTTTTCTTATATGGACATAAATAAATATGCTTCAATTATCTAATCCGTCAAGAGACTACTGTGCTCGGCGAGAAAAAACAATGAACAGCGATAAAAGGGTAAAATCAGAGCTTCACAAATTGAGAAAGGAGTATTCAAAACGAAACGAAACCATTTGCACGGTATAGAATCTACATGGGAAACGGGTAGAGGAATGACAGAAGATCGCCGTTTTGCATGACAGTAGGCGATGGCTATCCTGCGTGACTTGGTGGTGATGAGTGGTGCTCGTGGCATATCTTCCTCCACCCCAATCTCTAGAAGCCGCTGCAGGGTGTGCCGCATGCAAGTGAATTGTAAACGAATTCCCATCGTAGCTGCGGTTGTGCGAATCGGCCAACTTACACAATCACACCAAGAGGTGTCGCCCTTGCGAGTACTCTCCTCGCACAAGCTACCGCTAAGTGAGGAATACAGTGCTGGACATAATTATAAAAACACTCTAGTACGTTCATCTTGATGAACTCGTTTGAAACTTTGCTGTGTGGTGTGCATGTAAGCCCGTAACTCTAACGGCTTCCGATCCCACTGAGTTCACGGAGAAAAATGGAAAAATTTGAAAAAGCCCGTTTTGAAAACTGGACAAAATTATAAAGGCACCTGTTCTTTTTAAACATTATCGCTTCCTTGACTCCCAAATATTTTTGTAGAGTTGCATCCAAATTATGAAACTTTTGCGACACCTACGACCTATCACCCTACTCAAAAAAGACGATCATTGCATTTCTCGTTTACAAAAGCATCAAAAGTCAAACTGCTTCAAAAAACAGCTAATTTGAGGAGTTTTCATATTCTTGTTCATTATGAGTGATAGACTTGGTATTTATCGGGCCTTTTCGACTAATAAGGTAAAGATCGCTTTCATATACTATGCGTAATCTTATTTATAAAGCTGAATGTCTGTTTGTCTGTCTATATGTATGTATGTCTGTACGTATGTAAAGGCTACTGCATGACGAAGGTGCAATAGCAGGAGTAGTTGAGCGGGCGCAAACTCGGCGCACGCACCGTTGTAAATCCTGCGCCTTATGCGCTCTGCGGCTGATAAAGCCGCGTTCGCACCCAAAGATATTGCGCCTTCGTCATGCAGCAGCCTTTACGTATGTTTCAAATAGAAATTTTTATTTCTGAACCGATCCGGACCAAACTTGACACACATACACTTCTTTGCGGGGCGGGTGTCACAGGCTACTTTTCGTCACCGATCGATATCGATTTTATCAATTTTTACGGATTTTTTGTAAAGTTTGATCTACGGGGCTAGGAGTTGGCACAGGGGAGTAATCGAGCATGCTGATTACGATTACAATTTTAGTTTTCAAAGTGTCATTCAGTATTTTTATCCATTTTATCCATCTTTTTGCAAAGTTTGATCTACGGGGCTGGGAGTTGGCACAGGGGAGTAATCGAGCATGCTGATTACGAATACAATTTTAGTTTTCAAAGTGTCATTTAGTACTTTTATCCATTTTATCGATCTTTTTGCAAAGTTTGATCTACGGGGCTGGGAGTTGACACAGGGGAGTAATCGAGCATGCTGATTACGAATACAATTTTAGTTTTTAAAGTGTCATTCATTACTTTTATCCATTTTATCGATCTTTTTGCAAAGTTTGATCTACGGGGCTGGGAGTTGGCACAGGGGGGTAATCGAGCATGCTGATTACTAAAACAGCGGAATTGGCATGTAGGCGTGGGCACGGGGAAATGTTGTACACGGATAGGGATGGGAGCTTTGTTATAGTGCTTTGACAGGCCGGGTGGAGCCGGGTAAGCCAGCTAGTCTTATATATGAAGCTGAACGTCTGTTTGTCTGTCTGTATGTATGTCTTCCTGTCAGTATATGTATACGTATGTTCCGAATAGAAAATTCCATTTCTGAACCGATTCGGACCAAACTTGGCATACATACACTACGGGCGGGGCGGGTGTCGTAGGCTACTTTTCGTTATCGATCGATATAGATTTTATCGATTTTTTTGCAGAGTCTGAGCTACGGGCTGGAAGTTGGTACAGAGGGGTAATCGAGCATGCTGATTACGAATACAACATAGTTTTTTGAAATTATTCATTACTTTTATCGATCTTATCGATTTTTTTTGCAAAGTTGGAGCTACAGAGCTCGGAGTTGGCACAGGGAGGTAAGTGCGCATGTTGATTACTAACACAGGGGGAATAGGGAACTGGTATTTAGAAGAAGTGGACACAGGGAAAGGTTGTACACGGAAGGGGATGAAAGCTTTATCAGAGTTGTTTTGACAGGGCAGGGCGGAGCCGGGTAAGCCAGCTAGTCGCTGATATTGGTGGACAAACTTCAACCTCATCATAGGGTTGCCCCGCTTTTGCACCATAAAACTCAGTTTTCAAGTTACAGAAACGCTGCAATATAGCCACTAGTGGGCTATACAACAATGAACTTGTGTGCCGCAGTTGTCATCCTCTGAGAATTGAGTGGAGCACCCTGCACAACCATATCCAACTCAAATCACGAAATCGAACAGAAGTCCGCTTGTTCAAAATCTTAGCTAATCTCAGCTACCGCATAAAATGTGACATGAAACAGAGAGGGAAATAGTGAGATTTGTGATTATGTTGAATTTATTGCTCGCAGAGGATTTTCGTGGAAAGTACTTCAGATCAAAATGACAACTGCAGCACTAAAAAATCTAAAAGGTGTTGTAAAAGCTGCGTCACCATGCAGTCAATGTAATAAATCGAGTTCATCACTTCACGAACATTGAAAAGTGAGTTTTGTGGTGTAAAAGCGTGACAATCCTACAATGTGGTTGGAGTGTGTCTGTCAGTATCAGCGATTGCGGAGTTTGTAGAAGCGCTCTTTACCTTAATTATCAAAAAGGCTCAGTGTATTCCACGACTATCATTTGAAATAAACACGAGCTTGAAAACTCCCCAAACCAGCTGTTTGTTGCAGCAGCTTAATTTTTGATGCCTTTGAAAGCAAAAAATGCAATGATCATCTTTCTTTAAGTAGGATGATAGGGTCGTAGGTGTCGCAAAAGTTTCATAATTTAGGATGTGACTCTAAAGAGAAATTTGGGAGGCAAGAAAGCGATAATGTTTAGAAAGACAGCTGTCTTTATAATTTTGTCCGGCTTTCCAAGCGGGCTTTTTCGAATTTTCCATTTTTCTCCTTTCGAAATCAACGGGTTCGGAAGCCGTTTCGAGGAGTTATGGTAGGCTTACATGCGCACCACATAACAAAGTTTCAAACGAGTTCATCAAGAAGTATGTAAATTACAGTGATTTCTAGAGAGTATTTTATAATTATGTCCAGCACTGTAGCAGTCCACGAACGCGCCTATGTTTTTCTACCCTAACATATAGAAGTTGCTTGCATAGTATATCTACTGACAGTAAACAGCGGCCTTTTCATTCAACACTATTTGATCCGCCAGCATCTGAGTGTATCAGAAACACAAAACATCCAACTCTACAAAACCTCCTCCATATAGCTGAAAATCTAGCACATAGAAACTATAAAGAAAGATGTTTCGAAAGGCAGATCCAGAAAAGCCAAGGCTCCAAAGTCAGTTGGCGCGATCTCTCAGGTTGGGTAGTACCATGTACCCCCAAATTACGTCGACAAACTAAGATTCAGCAATTTCTTGTTAGTACGAAACGATTATCAAGGGAGTTTCGTATTATTTGAATTGTCTTTACTTCATTATTCAACTCAAAACTTTCTGTTCCAACAGTTCATCCCATTTATTTTGATTTTATTAGGTTGGCACATAAGTTTTGCAACTTTTCCCATAACTTTTTTCCTATTCAATATAGCAATCTCATTTTGTGGCATCATGTAGATCGTGATGTAAGCTGCAAGTCTGCGCAAACCGTTTGATTTTTGATAACGTAGTAAAAAAAATCTAAGCTTTTTTTGAAAACTGCTGAAAATTGAGGTTTCACGATTTTTTGGCAAACATGAAGCCTTACGAACTTAGTTACTTAGTTACTTAGTTGGCCCGTCCTCACGTGTCGTGCGGGCCGCAGCACAGCTTCCATCCGTTCCTATCCCTCGCAAGCGTCAACCACGATTTTCGTATCCGTCGTTGATGGCGAAGATCACGAGATCTAGGTGTAAAATTCGCTTCCAGCTGGTTTTTCAGCTGGTCCATCCTTTCCACGAACACATCTGCCCACCTGGTGGGGGGTCTTCCTCGAGGGCGTTTTACATCGCGAGGGATCCATTCCAGCGTTCTTAACGTCCATCTGTCGTCTGTTCTTCTTGCAATGTGACCGGCTCATCGGTACTTTACCTTCGAAACATACTCGACTGGGTCTCGTAGGCGGGACATACTTCTTAAATCAGAACTGCGAAGTCCGGCAAGATGTTGCGTACGTCGGTTAAACTTCAGAAGACTCCGCTCCATCGCTCTGTGGGTGGTACGAAGAGCTTTCGACGTGGCAGCAGTGTCAGCCCACGTCTCGGCTGCGTAGCAGAGCGCTGGGAGAACGGTTGAATCGAACAGATGAGCTCGGAGCGCAGGGTCCGTTAGTTGGTCGGTGGCTTCTTTCAAAGGCCCGTAAGCGGCCCAAGCTGCTCTTCGCCTTCTGTTAAGTTCTTCTTTCAGGTCGTTCTGCATGTTCATTGAACGTCCTAGATACACGTAAGAAGAGGTCTCCGTGATTGGGGAATCTTCCAGCTTCAATTCCGTATCCTCAATTAGGCCGTTCTTCATGAACTGGGTCTTCTTCCGACTGATTCGCAGTCCAATCGTCTTCCCTACTTCGTTCAATTCCTTTAACATCGTCTCGGCTTCATTGATACTGCTCGAGAAGAGAACGATGTCGTCCGCGAAACGAAGATTCGAGAGGAATCTCCCATCAACTCGTATACCTCTCTCATTCCAGTCCAGTGATTTCATCACCCACTGCAAGGCCGCCGTGAACAGCTTAGGCGATATGGTATCGCCTTGTC